GTTACGGTTAAAATAATCAAGCAACTATATCATACTAAACCAGTCAATTATCTCGAACTATTATCAAGAAACTTTTTTTAACTTTTATCAAGCAACATCTAATTAAATTAAACAACTGATTTATTTTATTTATCGTATTTAAGATATTTATTAAGCACCCATATCGTCATTTCCTATCAACGGGCTTTGATTTTATTTCCGGAAATGAGTGACAACACAACTCAAATATAAACACGTGCACTGAAATGAACACGTTACTGGCGCGCCTTCCCCTAAATCAGCGCGTGCCGACCAACGGGTGACACACCATGTCTTCTCAAGCAAAATCAAGCAATCGTCTCTAAATATTATCGAGCAACTACCACTGAGAATTGTTGCGTCTAACTTCTATGTATCGACAGACAACTTAGTGGCACTAATAAAACATATGGTATCTGTGAAAAAGTCTTCGTGATTGTTTTTCAATAAATGTTGTTATAGCCAAGTCAAAGTGTATATACTAATTGGAGGAGTCAAACTTCAACTTCCAATGACTGATAGAAAAGACTTGGCGACATCGTCGTGAGTTCAATTAATATTAATGAATTAGTTCATAATTATCCAATCAGCAAGCCTTTCATGTCGTATAAGTGTACGTCACAATTGCCATGTCAATGTGGGCGTATACAATGTGAAGCTTCTAGCCAATCAATATTAATCTGTATTTACATATTGTTATAATCATTTTTATTAAATAAGGTACAATTTTCTGTCTATCACTGTACAAGCTTTTAAAAAATAAAATAACAAATAATCAGAACCTCCTTTTCCATATTTGAGCTCACTCATACAAAAAAATATTTTTATCCCAACTTCAAAACGATTTACTCAATCGTCTTTCAAAATGGCTTAAATTATTAATTGAACACGTGACATTGACATACTAGATGGCTCTTATTCTGCAAAGCAAATGTTTATTATTTTCTTGATTTTTTCAAAATCGATAAATTTTTTCTTCAGACCTTGACACATCATCCCAGCTTTTCAAAAGATCGAAATTTCGGTAAGACGCTACTCAAATTAGTGTTTTAATTGCTAACACAAAAAACTACGGCTGCGGTTTCGCGGATATTTGCATAATGTGTATCTTTGGGACGGCTTACACGATAACATCTTATGTGCATACCGGGTGTGCATACTCCAAACAGTATTCGGCTGTCTTGTATAAACATCTAAATACTGGTAGGCGATGTCGGCTACCTTCGGGTGCATTCGTATTAGTATAAACATGGAAGGTACGTAACGTATGTTAGTATTACAGTGGAATGTGGTATAAATGAAATTGAAATAAAATAAACTTGCAGGAACATGCACAGCGCGTGTAAAATACATTGTTTGGTTACATGAAATTCACATGGCACTGTGACAAAAATAATCAATTTGTATCAACATGGCGAGTTTTGAACTCTGTGGTAAAAGTATTCATGATGA